TTGTCCCTATATGGAATTTACTATTTGCCATGGTCAGAGACAGGGCACTGAGCTAGAGGGACCATTAGTCTGATCCAGTATCAAAAGAAAAATGTTGATCTGACTCAAGCCTCATCTTACAGGGACACAAACACAATTTCTACACATTTTCCTTGCCTTACCTTTTTCTTCATTATTAACATGCCAAACTCTTGCTGTCACCACCATATCATCTCCAGAGAAGCTGAGTACCATAATAAAAGCATCCATTGCATGCTACAAAAATATATTCTAAACAACTCCCAAGCCTTCACAAAATATAGGCAGACATTCCTCCTTCCATCACCCTAGCCTACATTCAAATCAGAATTACCAGCCTAAATATTCATTTGTGCCATGATTGCACTGTGGTTTCTAGTGTTTTACAAGGATGCTGTTTATTGGAGTGTGGGCTTGGGATTTTTGTTTTTGATGGGAAGGAGGCTGCTATACTATATAAACAACTTAAATCAACCATCCATAATAAACTGGGGAGGAAATGAAGCACTAGAATAGAACACCAGGCTGTGTAAACCAAAATAGACTTCAAGAAGAAATTACCTTAGACTAAGACAAAACTAACACTTCCCTATAGCATCCAAAACAATTTCTTCATATCTGGAAGAAAAGATGCTTGTAATTTTCAGTTCTCAGACAAACATTAATTCTATTGGAAAAGTGAACCCTTTTCCACTTCTAATAGCTTAATATATTAATGTACATTCATTACATCATTAAAATAAAACACGTTAAAAGGGAAAGCTGTTATCTTCTTTTCTTCTAAACATGTACCTACCTACTCTAAGATCCTCAAAATACTTGTCAAAGGCAAGGATATCTAGCCTTCGTCTTGCCCACAAAATATCTGGTATAAATTCAAAACAACTGGTAATTCTACTGAAGTTATTCTAGTGACAAAAATGAGAGCAGAGCTTAACCTTGGATATGTAGAGCCTAGGACCATAGAGTTTGTTAGTTAGGGGTTCTGTTGGGTATTTTGGACTCAACTTTTAAAGTTTTACAAAAACATCTTCAGCAACCTTGTGTGACAAGACATTAAATGAAGAAAGGTGATGCTTCTTGAAATGTATTGCAGAAGAGAATTTTAGAATACTTAACAGATGAATTAGAAAATATATATGTGGGGCATTCAAATTTGCTACTCCTAAAGGAGCAAGAGTAGATAGACTATACACTAACAGAACTATGTGTGTGGTATAAGTACAAATCATTTGAAATTCTACAGTGTGTGAAGAGTGACCACTTCCCCATCTCTAAAAATTCCATAATACTTTTATGAGGAGCCTTCCCCATCTACACAACTAGCCCTCATATTAGAAACCATTAATGAGAAAATTAAATGGAATGAGTTGAGAGAATTGTGTTGTCCTACTTAAAGATACATTCTCAGCTCACTCATCTTGTATTCTCAAAGGAAAGAGAACGCCAGGAAGCAATTATTCAATATGAAGTAGCTGTCCAACAGCTGGAAAATGATCTTACAGAAGAGACCATCTTTGCAAGGAATAGGCATTGGTGGCATAAAACATGGTTTGATGAAGACTGCTCTAAAGCTAAAGGCTCCTTAACAGAAGTCTTGGAAGAATATAAATCCAAAAATAATTGTGCCAGCTTATAACAGATCAATAAGATTAAAAGAAATTGTAAAACATTAATAGATAGAAGGGCAACACAGTACCAAATGAGGATGTGGGAGGAACTGGTTGCTTCAGGGCAAAATAAGGACTTCTTTTGGCAGATTACAGCCAAGGGAACCAAAAATTTCATTCAAAAATTTCCCTTTGTATCCAGATTGTGTACCTTTTTTCCTTAAAATTTACACTACCTTTTTACAGCATGTGTGTACACCCATGTTAATGAGTGTATCTGGGAATCACCTGCAGAGCCCAAGTAAGCCTTTCCTTAGGAATTTTTGCTTTTTAGTAGTATTGTCTGAGTGAATAGTTCAAACCAGTAATCTTACATTGTCATCCAAACCTAAACCTTGAAGTTGAAGTTGATATCTGAAAAGAAGCTATTCCAGGCAGATTTACAACTAACTATGAGGTAAAGTAGACTTGGGAATTCTTCCATCTCATGTAAGTTACAGACACCTGAATTAAGCAATGCGATATTATATGTATTATAGGGTAACTAATACATGTCAAATTTGGCTAATGACAAATTTAAGAAACTGCACAAATTAATTCTCTCTTCCACTGCACAAATATGAAACATATTTACAGATTTGACTTGTCAACTAGAAAAACCTGCAATTCTTTTTGAATTATTTTCTATGATTCAATTTACTTATTTTGAAAACACTGCAACCTGAAAGGACTACTCTTGTCCATAGCACTTGACAGCTGTGCACCTGTTTTGTTGAAACAGCTTTCTTGCTAAGTCTCTTTACAATTGTTAACTGTGGAGAGACCTTCATGTCAAAGGGAACAAAGAGGATGGTACAATACTTAAAACTGTTACAGAGCTTGACCCAAAGTCAACTGAACTCAGCGTATTGCTTTTCCTTACAGTAAAGATGGATTGAGCCTAAATGGTGCGCTTAATCTTTGAAGCACTCGGCAGGCGGTAGGGCCAATACTGTCAAGTTACAAATCATAAAGTTAAAAATAAGATTTCTTGTCTGCTAGAAACACTAATTAAAATGGAGTGTTATTTATGTTGTATTATGCTTACAACTCAAATGCTATATTGCAGGGAGATATTCAAATGCTAAATGTTTATATTTAAATTCATAGATAAACACTGCCTAGTTTTAACACAGGCTTGTGTAGCAGTAGTTATTTACAGCTATCACTAAATGCAATAAAATTATACAAAATATAATAATAGAAATATATAAATTTATGGGTAGTGGTAAAAGGATACAAACAAAATTACACAATCTACCAGTCTAAACAAAAACAAAACCTGGTACAAAATCATACACACGCACAGAAAAAAGGTAAAATAGCCCAACACTTAAAGTTTTTCACTAATGGAAAGATCCATTTTCCTCTTATTTTTTCAAAGGATGAACAAGACCACAAACAGTGATTAAGTCATATATCTCATTATTCTTGCAAGAACATATCCTGTCCATATACAGCCCGCCAATTGATCCTAACTGGCCTGCCAACTGCTGCCAAGAGTCTGACGGAAGGCTGTGCCCCGAGCCACTCCACTCTGCCGCAGCCAGGGCTGGGCTGTACAGTGCACAGCCTCCTCCACTCCCTCCCTTGCATCCACCCCCCACACCCAGCTTCCTCTTGGCACTGCAGTTGCGCAGTCCTGGCACCATGGCCACTGGCAGCCAGGCTATGCATGGGACACGGTTCAATGCAAGCACACAAAGTAGTGCCCCTGCCAGAGCCACACACCTGAAAGGGGTCTTCAAGAGGAGACTGGACAAGTACCTGGCTGGGGTCATCTGACCCCAGCGCTCTTTCCTGCCCAGAGCAGGGAGTTGGACTCGATGATCTACTGAGGTCCCTTCCAACCCTAACATCTATGAATCTATTAATTTAAGCCCATGCTGCTGCAGCTTCTCCCAGAGCCTCCACCCTACTTCCTGGGTGCATTGTGAAGACAGTTTCTAGCCAAAGAGGAGCTGCACATGGGGATGGCTGGGGGTGGTGGGGAGGTGATGAATGTTGCCAATTCCTCTCTTAGGTTATTTGATAGAGGGTACAAACTAGGGATGTAAATATTGTTTAAGAAAATATTCATTTAAGCGTCTCCAATTACATGGGGTCAAACAATTAACTGATAACACAGCAACTCGGAACACCTGCTGCTGAGAGCTGCTACCGGGGCCCTTGGAGTAGGGGAAGGGGAGAGTAGGCAAGCCCAACTAGACAACACAGCCCAGGTGAAGCCCTGCACTCAGAGGGATGGAGCACCTGTAAAGGACCAGCTAATTGCTTAATGAATGAGCCATTAAGCTGCTCCCTGTTTTCCTCTTAAGTTATGTGTACTAGTCATCCTCCTCCCTCCCCACTCCCTCTTACCTGCCTGCCCTGCAGCCTTCTCATCCCTGCTGGGGCACCTAGAGCAGGGGTGCGCTAAATGCATCCCGTCAGGCCATTCTATCCAGCCCGCAGGGCCCCCACAAAATTTAGAAAAGTAATATTTATCTGCCCCTGGCTGCTTGTCATGCGGCCCTCAATGGCTTGCCAAAACTCAGTAACCAGCCTTCCGCCTGAAATAATTGCCTGAACCTGACCTAGAGGCTGCCAGATTGCACCTGCCCCAAGCTAAAGGATAACCAGTAAGCTAACTGGTTATCACTGCACTTATCTATTAAACAATTAATTGTTTAATGTTTCACATCCCTAGTACAAATTCTAAATGTTTATGTAATAATTTAGAGTTCTTAATTGAGTTGAAGAATTCACATTAAGCAACTCTATTTCAGATCACATCTCTATCAAATTCTACAACAGGGAGACAAGTCACCTTAAAAGTAATTTGAAATCTTTTCAGTTTTTGAATGAACCATAGGGTCAGCACCCCACAGTTCTGCTCCATATAATAAAATAGACTGATACCTTAGATCTATAGACCTATATAGTGCCACTAGTATGGCCCTTCTGCCCATTGTATTGTAAAAGGACAGAATTCCACCAAAGGCTTGTTTTGCTTTAATGCCTGCCTTTTCCATGTGTCTATCCCAGCTCAAGAGATTTATTAAAACAATTCCAAATTCTAAAGAGAAACTAAAGCTTTCAATAGATGGTACACAATACAGAAACTAATGCTTTCAGAAACTGAAGCTTTCAATAGATAGTACATAGTACAGTAAACCACTGAAAGTCTATTTATATTATCTGCATACTCATGCCTACGTATCTCTGCTCATCTGTCTTTTCCCCCTTCCCTTGCTCTTATATTTGCCAATTACTACCCATTTTCAACTAGCAAATTAATATTAAAAAGATGGAAAAGGGTTAAGAAATTAGGTTACATTGAAAGTTGCTCACAGTTGCTATGGCTTCGGTCTGTTCCCTGTTATATTCTCTGTACTGTCCTAGCATCTGGTCAACATGCCTCAGGTTTCTGTTGGTATCCTTAAGAAAAAATATGAGAAAGGTTGGGGGAGAAGGTGAGGAAAAAAACAATGTTAAACCAGAAATCTTCTTTAAAAACAAATGAACGCATCACTATTAACTTTATCTTATTTTTAGGTACAAAAATAACAAGTCTGATTTCTGCAGAGTGTCTGAGTACCCACAACTCCTATAAAAGTCAGAGAGAGATAGGGGTACTCAATGCCTCTGAAAAATAATTTACAGCAGGGGGTGACCAAGACATGACCTGTAGAGCCATGTTACTGGTTCACATGGCCCCACAATGAGTCCACAAATTTGGCAGTGTGAAGAGTGCTGCCAGTGTTAATTACTGCCATGATTCTCAGAGCTGTGATTATCATTACTACCGCTCATCCTACTGCCAGATTTCCAGACCCACAGAGAGGCCCACAGGCTGTATCAAGAGCAGAGCGCCACGTTATCTAGCTGCAGGGCAGGCCACAAGGCTAGAAATTTGGCCGCAGCAGGAGTGGTGCTATTGTAGATTTGGGAGTGGCAGCAACTAACACTGATGCTGACAAATTCCAGCCCTGCAGAATGGAGGAGTTGAACAACATTGATTTACAGTAAATGTCTAGGTCCAAACAACCAAGTTTGAAGGTTTTGGCCATGCTGTATGAAAACCGTTCATCTAAGGATCTTAAGTTATTAATTTAGCCTAGCCATAAAGTAATCTCTTTGAGATAACAACTTCTCTCTATTTCACAGGTGGGTAAACTGAAAAAAAAATTAGTTGCAAATTCATCAAACAAGAAGGGAAGACCTTGGAGCAATAGGTAAAAAATCCCAAATACTTGAAATGTTTGAGAATTGGTATATAAACCTCTCTCAAAGGTTACATAAACTTTTAGAAAAAAAGGAAGTGAGATTTTGTGATTATGGTATAAGGCTATAGACAATAGCCTATAACCAGATATAAGGCTATAGACAATTTTCCCCATGTGGGAAGCATAAACAATATACGTCATAATACACCAAGTAGCCCAGCTAGGATTAATTACCTAGTTGGTCAAGCCTACCCAATGCTCTAGCTGGCTGCACTACCCCAGTTAATGAATCAGCTGGCCACTGTTACAGGCACTTGATCAGCTGCTATGGATAGCAGTCTCCCCATTTAAGTTCACCAGTGGCAACTGCTGGCTGGGAGGCCAGCCAACAGTTCTGCCAGGTCTACTGTGGCAAGCCTCCCTGGATCCTGTAGTCTTTGGTTTCTTCGTCAATGACTTCGGACCCTGCTTGACTCTGCTTCTGGACTCTGGCTTTTGGAAATTCCCTTCAGCTTTGGTAACTCAGTCCCTGACTCAGCTTGCAACTCGGACTCTGCTCCTAGAATTCCCTTTTGGTTTAGGTACCTTGGACTCCATCTCCTGTCTATGGCCATTCCCTGGTGGCCCAACTGCTAGGCAAGACCACCTACATCCTTATCCTTACAATATCTGTTTCCTCATGTGAAATGACAATCTTAGACTCTAAATTAATATTTGCAAAGTTTTCTGCTTTGTTACAGAAAACACTACAAGAAAAGGTTAGGTTAAAAGCAAGCTGGATCACATCATAACATAGACAACTGGTGCCTCCTGAGTCAGGGAGGGCACTTGCCCCACCAGTGGCCAATCAGTGACCAGGGGGTGGGAAGGGTCCCCCCATGGCTGATCACACCGACCGGGGGTGCCCCCCTTGTCTGGTCACACATGCCGACCGAGAAGCAGCATTCCCTCCAAGCTAGCTCTAAGAGGGAACACTGCCCAGAAGTGCCAGAGGCATGCCTGGAAGGGCCAGGGACGTGCCCAGAAGGGCCAGCAGCACTTCTCTTGGCACCCCCACTCCCCAGCCAGCGCTCTCAGGGGGAGGCACCAGTGCTCTCGCCTGCCCCCCCTGCCCACTCCCTAAGCAGGGAACACGGCTGTGAGGGGGTGTACCAGCACCCCCTACGCATCGCCACTTCATCATAAGCCTATAAGGGGGGATTATGATTAGGAGGAAAGATGAAAAATGAGGGTGTTCACTCAAGTATCAGAACTGTAATGACAAAAACCCAAAATCAAGCCCCTGGTTAAAATTGGAATTTGAGACTTGCATTGTAAGCCTGTAATACTATAGTGTTCTATTTTTATTTTATTTTAGTTATTCCCATACAAATCTGCCCTACTTGCAAGTTAAAAGAAAGAAAACAATCTTCCTAAGTTATACCTCAGGAGATACAATTTGGATTCTCTTCTTTACAGGCGTTACCAGTAATAGTTGAGGGCCTGATTTGGCTTGGGGTATCTATTACCAAGGCAACAATCCCAGGCTCAGCTTTTGAGCAAAACAGTGGCAAAAACAACTACTGCCCAACAGTAGCTAATAACGCTACCACCTTGGGCACAACAGCAGCTGGCACTACCCAGTACGCTGAGGCTACTCTGGGCATGGTGCTGGCTCACTACATCTCTGGGGATCTTTGTGGGCTAGTACGCAGGGTCAGGGCCAGTCTGCAGCCAGATGTGGTGCACGAAGTCAATTCATGGGGTGCTCAAGGGCCGAATCAGCATGTAGGATTAATCCACAAGCACAATCAGACTGCAAACCAACCCCACACACCAGCCCAATCCACTTGCAAACTGGTCCTGTGTGACTTATCCAGCTCATGTGGCTAGACTGGTTGGGTACCACTGATGTGGGGTATCCTTGCTCAGATCAACCTTGTAACCTACAGAAATTCTCAAAGATAACCACCCTAAGCTAAGAACAATTATTAGTTTATAATGCCACACAATTTAAAATGTTAAGATCATTTTAAAAATAATTTAAATAAAGATCATTTAATAAAGACCATTTTAAAATCTTTTCAATAGAGAATGTTAGGGCACTTTATTTGGGCAAGCACAATAATCAATTTTCAAAGCACTTAGCCACTTTCTAAAAACCTGTAAAGTGCTTGCTAAAGTATGAATCTTCTCAGTAACTTCTTCGGTGCCATGGTTTCGAGCTCTGATGTGTGTCGCCCTTAGCGGGCCCCGGCTTCCAACTCGATGCCGACGAAAGCTATCTGAATCGCTGGATGATTCTGCCATCGACGTCTTGAAATCCTGACAAGAAAATAAGGACAGGCCTTCAAAATTCAGAATGCTACCACTGAGAGTTATTGTCTTATTTTTTTCTTATTTATAACCACTCAAATATATATTTTTGCAAAGGCAGATATTAAGCACTCTAATGAAATGGGGCATTTTGGCTGCAGTATTAAATGGGAAGAAAAGAATAAAATCCAATTATTATTACTACTACTTGCTGATGATCCTGGGAGTATCAAACAACTGAAGTAAATTACAAAATAGGAACTGAGAATAAAAAGCAATGGAGTTCTGTTTATGGAAAAATTTACTCATTTTTCTACTAAAGAAGGAAACATAATATCTTTAAAGAAACAACTTGATCCTCATTTTGAATTAGAAAGTTTGCCTATATTTTCTCTCTTTTTAGATACAAAATTTCTTTTCTTTTAAAATGATAGAAAAATATTGCAGAAAAATCAAGGAGCTGTGTTTTTTTCCCAAATTCATTTGCTCCAGATTAAAGTCATAATCCCACTTCTAAAAGCATAGTTATCAGCACATCAACCAGTGGTAACACTATGGAAAAGGGATATGAAGTTCAGGTGAGACAGGCAGACAAACGCTTAAGAAATACTGTTAATGGAGCCAACTTTTAGTTTAAGAAGAGGCAGCAACAAGAAATAAAGAAACTGGAATTACTCAGACAAAACTGCCTTTAAATAGATTCTTTTGAAAGCATGCATGAGGCACAAACATGTATTTAGCAATTACTGTTTAAGAGATGCATTTATTTCTACTAATTAAGCAGGTTCCTAGGATTCAGATTATCTATGTCCGTTTCCAGGCATCACAACCTTTCTGTGCCTGCTTTCCACTTTACAAGCAAGATGTTTTAAATTTTAATTACTGCTGGGAAAAATAGTTTAATGTGTTTTTTTCAGGATTTCAAAAATATTTTACCAAATTTACTGAATGTACTCTCAGATACACACATCTCCTCATATCTAGTAATCACCACAGATTTCTAATCTTCTTGCTAAAATTTCACTGTTGGGCATCCACATTTTAAAACGGATTATACTCAAACTATAGGATTTCCTGCTTTGCCTCTGCCTTGATGACCTCTTTGTCCAGATTTTCAATAAGCATCTCATCCCAACCCCTCCACTCCCACTTCCATGTTTCCTTGTATGTATATAGCATCTTTACTATCCTGGCCTACTACGCTAACATTTTATATTGTAAAGAAAAGTTTAGTAGTGTAGTGGGCTAAGGTAGTAAAGGTTTTTAATTAAATAGATTCAGAAATTGAAAATAAAGCCATGAGACAACATGACATTTGTTGCCATCACACTGTTTGCTCTGCTTGCAAGTCACATCCCTTCACATAGCCTGCGTCTGCCTTATCCATTTAGCTTTAATACTCTTCAAGCACAGAACATTTACATCTTTGTTCCCATTGTGTTGGGCACTGTAAAAACAAATCCTGAGTGGGCCCTTTCTTGCTTTTATTAGAAGAGTACCTAAAACCAAAACCTAAATCCCTCCATCATGTGTTCACCTAGTAATTCATATGAATACAGAAAAGAGGTGTGAATTAATTATGTAAATGCTTGTGTGGATATTCACAATTCCTTTTATTGAGCTATCAAAATATGTATTGGCTTAAAATAAATAACTATATACTGTAATGCTGCTTGCTGTTCTCCATTTCATCTTCCACTACTGTTTGTCATATCTTAAATTTAGATTATGTTCTTTCAAACAGGAAATGTGTCTTTCCACAACTTCCGTGCAAAATCTAGCAGTTCTGTGGACTATAAAAAAGTTGCTAGGTTGTTGTACTGTGTAATTCTTAGTAGTTGTAAATCTACCTTTTGAACTGAGAACGAAACTAAAGTATTATAAGGTTTGAAATAATAGCCATGATTATAGATGCACTAATAAAAATATCTTAATTTTTCAAAGCCTCTCTTCACAGAAGAGTACCTTTTTCTCCATTTAATTTCACGGTAAGTTTTGCAGACAAACTGCTTTAATTTTAAACCAGTAATGATATTTTACATTTGTACAAAAGCTTCGTAACAAGGATGGTGTTTTCTTTTATTAATGAAGTAATGAATCACTATTCCTATTTCACATGTACAAAAACTGAGACAAAAGCAAAACTAGATAAAGCGCAAACCTGGTGCAAGATCAGGGGTTTAACACAGATCTCTTGACTCAGTTTGCTAAGAATTAAACAGTGCTTCCAAAATGCACATATGCTTTCTGAAAGAGATGTCTCTATAGCGTTCTCTCCATAGTTATTTAGTTAAATTAAAATGAGTATGTATTATGTTGTTTTATTAGCAGGTACAGTTCAAAACTTGAGAACTCTTAAGTACAAACCTGAACTATCAATTCAAACACATCTTACAAGGCCTACGCGATGTATCAGTTGTCCAGAACATCAGCTTCCATTAAAAAAAAAGATGCAAGTTTAAATCCCTCTAGGTCAGCGGTTCCCAAACTCTGACAGGTTGAGTACCATCAATTTAAAACGATACAACCTTAAGTACCACCAGCAAATTTGTCATATAAAGTGATTATAATAAATCTGTTAATGCATACCACAGGTTGCATACTGACAGGTTGCCTGCGTATCACTGGTGGTACCTGTGCCACAGATTGGTAACCCTGCTCTAGGTTCGAAATAAAACACTCCTATCATCAGCAGCAGTCCCTTGCAGTCGAGGATGATCGTCTTCCATGACCATCTTTTCTGTGGGTCCAAAGATGGCTGACGAGACCAATCCAGTATTGACGGGCCGTGCTGCAACTCAGGCACATAGAAGGCTCTGGGTTTTTGGCCCAGTCTGCAATGCAGTTTCTGCAACTCCCATTTTTCCATCTCATGTTGTGGTCGTAAGGTTTCAAAGTACTGTGATCCTTGCAGCAGACTCTTCCTCCATGTGAGGCAGTCCTGGGTGATCGTCTCCCAAAAGTCAATATCAATGTTGCATTTTTTCAAGTTGGGCTTAAGGATGTCCTCAAAGTGCTTTCTCTGCACTCCTCTAGGGCAGATGCCTTGACTGAGCTGGGAAAAAAAAAAGACTTGCTTTGGGAGTCTGGAGTCAAACATCTGGATGATGTGGCTGGCCCAGTGAAGCTGATGTTGGATGATCATCATCTTGATGTTCGTGTTGTTTGCTTGTGAGAGGACACTAATGTTGGTGTGTCTGTCTATCTGCTGGGTTCAAAGAATCTTCCACAGGCAGTGTCTATGGTACTTTTCCAGTGACTTGTGGACAATGTCTAGGAGATGCCATATCTCAGCTCCACGTAGTAACGTGGGGATCGCGACTGCTTGATAAACCATGAGCATGGTTTCAGATCTGATGTTATCTTCAAACACCTGTTTCCTCAGGCATCTGAAGGCTGCACTAGCACTCTTAAGGCAACGTTAGATTTCTTCATTAATGTCAACCTTTTGTGAGAGGTGGCTTCCAAGGCATGGGAGATACTCAATGTTCTCCAGAGTCTCACCATGAATCTGAGTTTTTGAAGCTGGGAACTACTCATTAAGAGCTTGTTGATGGAGGACCTTTGTTTTCTGAGTGTTAAGCATCACTCTCATTTTTTGTATGCCTTGGTAAAGATGCCAGCAACTGCCTGAAGGTCTGCTTCCAAGTGAGCACACACTACAGCCTCACCAGCATACTGGAGCTCGATGATCAAGGTTAGGGTGGTTTTGGCTTGAAGTGCGCTGAGATGTAAAGTCAGTTCCTAATATAAAGTGAACGTAAACCTACATAATTGTCTACCTGCATCTATAGGTAGCAGTAGACATTTGCAGATGTCTAACGATTGTGAGCTGTCCTGCTCATTGGAACATGAACTTAATGTCTAACAATGGCTCTTCACAGTCAATATTAACTATCCCACAGACGGTCATTATAACAAGAGTGGGAAAAGGGGAGGATGATGACAGAAATTAAGTGGAAATGGAAATTGAGAGCTCTTGCAGAAAAAAAACCAGGAAGCAGAAATAGACAGAAAGCAGCAGGGGAAAAGACAAAAGTAAAAATAACCTGAAAGGAAGCAGATTCTTCAATTAACCATGCTGAATATGAAAATAAGGAAATCAGTCCCTTCGTTACTATAGAGTACTCCACCTAAGTGCATATTTCAATCCTGAAGCTATGCTATGCATTTAGAGTACACACTTACGCAAACAACGTAAGTATACGTAAAACCATCAGTGTTGCCACATTAGGAGCCCCACAACTGATTAGCATTTTCAAGGCATCCAATAGTCAGTTTAGGCCCCCCTATTAGAAATCTTAAAAACAATGAGAAAAGTCTTGAGAATAAATGGAGTTAGTCTGTTTCAATGTTCCTAACTTCAGCAGTTTGACAGCTGCTTCTCCTTTACTGTATCTTTTTTAGCTGTGTCAAAAAGAAGTGGAAAAGTAGTTACAATTAGTAACTGTAACACAGTTACTGTACAGTTGACCAGAATAAAATTAAGTTAGGAAGTGGACAGTGAAGCTTAAAGATGCTGTGCAGAGGGTCCTACTTAAAGCACAGTTTTGAATTTTTGCAGAAAGTGCAAAAAACATCAATCTCCACGATTGTTGCGAAGTTTCCCAGGCTGCAATTTCCCAGGAAATAGACCTTAAAGAGAGCCTTGCAGCCCACCCGGGAGCGGAAGGCGCCAGCACTAAGGGTGGCAGCAGCTGAAGAGAACCGAACTGCCCCTGCGCCAGAGCCGACACAGAAGGAAGCCGAGTCAATGGTCAGAACTGAAGGAGGAAGTTTTGGGTCTGGGTGTCTCGTTTGTGAGGCCTCTTCTCGAAGAAGCTCACACACCATGTGGACACACCCATTTCCCCAAAGCGCACCCCCTGCCACTGCATATGCACACCCACTCCCATAGACACACACCTGCACGACACCCCCCCTATCCCTACACACACACCCTGCCCTGCCCTACCCCTACCACCACCCCCACACATAACACACACAACTACTCGCACACCTGCACAGGGCACCCCCGGCCCCGCACACACTCCTGCTTCCATCCCTGCAACCAAGCCCTACCTCGACACACGCCCCAGCCCCACGCGCGCGCACCCACACCTCCGCCCCCAGTCACTCGTATCTCACACCCCTTGCGCACAACTGCACGCGCAACGCCCACGCCCACACCTAAAGCCCCCGGGGGGGGGCGCTAAAGGATGACGTCAGCCGGAGGGGAGAGGGAGAACCCGATGCTGCGTTGCAAGGAAAGGAGCCGCCTCGTCCTCACCTCGGCGCGGCGAACCCAGCCCGCGACTTCGACCGACCAACCGCCCGCCACGCCGCACCGCGCCACGCCGCGCCCCGCCCCGCCGCTATGCCAACTTGAACTAGCCGCCCTGCCAAAGGCAGAGCGCGGCGTCCCTGGCGCCAGGCTGCGCGCCGCTCGGCCCCATGGGACGTGTAGTCCGCCAGCCCCGAGAGCACCCGACGACAGGAGCCCGCGGACTACACCTCCCAAGAGGCCTTGCGCCGCCCGTGACGACCGGCCTATGACGCGCCCGAAGCCCCGCAAGGCGGAAGCTCCCCCTCTAGGCCACGCCCCTCCTTAAAGGGCCAGGCAGGCTGGAGTGAAGTGCGCGTGCCCTGCTCTTCCTCGTGCCCCGCTGCGGGAGCGGGGCGGCTGCCGTGCTCAGTGCGTCCGGGGTGGGGCAAAAGGAGAGCTTAGGCCATGTGCACGGCGCAGCTGGTCCCGCTTGTCCCTGAGCCTGGCTATGCGTCCATAAGAGCTGAAAAGCCTATCCCGGGGGTCTCCGATGCGATTGCTCCTGCACTTAGGTGCACTTGTTAATCAATGAACCGGTTTTGGTTTGGGTTTTTTTTGCAGACCCCGCATGACTCAAACCACGCGAGGAACGGAGCAGCTTTTTCTCCCGGGACTGTGGAGATGCGGGAGCCCTTGTCGGACAACAAGGATCTGTTAAGGTTCCAAATTCACACTTTGCCTCTGAACAGCTGTGGCTCATTACTCATTGTAACTAATTGCCTTGTGGACCACCTTTGAATGGGACTAGAAACAGGACTGATCCCACAAGGGCCCTGCTGCACCTCACATAAAGCTGGATAGAAACCAGCTATAAAGTTATTGCACATTTTCAAGCTCCAATTTTGGAGCTGGTTGGCTCTTTTTTATAGTCAGCTCAGCTAGACGTTTTTACAGCATGATAATGACTTGTATGTGTGGCCAGGCTAAACGTACTGTGTGATTTACCAGTTAATTGTAATAGATGTAACCCATGGCAGGCGCCTTACTACACACGCAAGCCTATTGTTCATGCTCAGCCCCAAACCTGCCTGGCTGCCGGCTTCTTATGTGCTAGGGCCTGGGAAGTATCCAAATTAACACCTTGCCCAGGGACAATCAAGATGTTTTCAAGTTAATTGCTATTCAAGCTACCTGTTCAAGGGATGGTCACAACCTGTTTTGATTAATCAAAACCTAAAACAATCAGCTGCAGATTCCATAATTATGGTGCATTAAGTTTAGTATCTGAAGTTACAGGTACTAACTTAAGTTACAGGTTACCATAGTTACAGGTACCATAATTGGCACTAGTGTACAGTAGTGCAAGCACACTTTTTTGTGACCCCAACATGCAGTAGACTAATTCTACTGCACATTAGCAGGGTTTTTGCAAGCTCTGCTAATGTGCACTAGAATTAGTCTAATGTGCGTTTGTCTTGTGTAGATGCACCCAAGGACTAAAAAGAGTTCCAAGCAGTAAAGGTGGGAAGTTATAAAAGATTATTGGTACAGAAATTGTTTGTTTCAGTTTAAATGTTTGGACTGAATTTTGTTGGGGAACTGTGTTTTCATTGTGATCCTATGGTTTACAAAGCTAGTCGCTTTGGATTTTGATTTGAACACAACCTTTAATTGTGCTGCAAGCCATAAGCACAAGTACCCTCCCCCAATTAAATTAAAAGAGCCCAATATGTTCCATATTATATTTTATTCCCAGAAACCCCCTCCCCACACTCCAAGCAGGCAGACAGCACCATGGGAGCAGCACCAAGGGATTTCATGGGGGAAAAGAATCTTCCCTCCTCTGTGTTTAGAAGAATGTTTCCTGATCCCCTCCCCCAGCACTCCCACCCAGTGTGGGAGAGGGGGAAGAAAGAGTTCTAGAGCCACTCCTGCCCCAATACAGGGCTTCAAAGACTCATATTGCAAAAAGAGACTCAAAGGTTAAAAAAAAACACCACATCACCTCACACTTGCACTAAAGGTTTTGGTGACAAAGCCAAGATCAGGGGTTGTTCTTTGCATGATAAACTGCATTCCAAATAAGTGAAACACTTGTTCCTGTTGGTTTTCATGTTTGCTTTCTCTCCTCTCCCCAACAAAGATTACTTCCTGCAGTGGCTGATTTATCTTTTTGTCACTTGTCTCTAGCGGGTTATGGAATAGAGAAAATCCCACACAATTTACTGATTCGTTTTGATGCACTGGCTGGGGAAGTTGTTAGCTGATTGCACGATTTCACAATGATTACACACTTAATTCATACAACACAATTTTATTTTAAAATTCTTTGCTACGTATATAACACTGCTTAGCTTTAAGAAACACCACAAACATTAAAAACACAATAATTACATATATCAGAAACAATGCTCCGAATGCACTTCCTTCCCAAACAATGCTATAAGAATTAGTGTTACAAAAACAACTACAATTACAACTAAAAGTTAAATTTGAATCAATACTATTATTTTTCATAATATACTTACAATCCTAGAATTCCGAGAAGCCAAATACCAAAATATGGTTTCATTCCTCAGTAGTACGATTTAATGGGTTGGCCTCAGTAGTACGGTTCAATGGGCTGGCCTCAGCAGTGATAGGACTAAGTCCCCTTCCTTCAGTCCCTTTCAGGTGCTCTGCAGCTTCAGCGTGAACTAAGAGATTCGTGTTCACGGAGAGGTTGGGTCAGGTGATCAGTCTGATCCGGGCTACACTTGCGATTCTTCCTTCGTTGTTCTGCAAGTGAAGTCACCTCCAAATTGGGCCAGTAAATTACAGTTTTTATTGAGTGAGCTGCCGTCAGTGGGCTCCTCCTACTCAACTTGTCATTACTCCCAAATTTGGGCTCGGATCTTACTCAACAGATTCTTTTGAAATTACCTTTGTTGAGCATTTTAAATTACTCTTGGGGAGACTTTCATATCACTGTAAATACCCTTTTCTTACCAATTTGGTTAAAAGGCCCTAGGCTTTGATGTCTCGGAATTCAGGATATTTGCTCTCTTTGTAAAAGACTTCTAAAGATAAAATTTAAATTAAGACTTTAACCGAAGTTAGGACATTTTGCACGTAGCCCCAAAAACAATGACTTAGATAAGGAGATAAATCCTATCTTCTTCCTGAAACTGGCTAATGGGCAACCTTTACAAACATTCAAACTATTTCATTCAATATGACATCACTGTTCAAGCAACTCTTTTCCCCAAAGACTTCTCCAGGCCACACACGGGTTCTTCTCTCAGGTTTACTGATGCTCCTCAAATCCAAAACTTAGCCTCGCTTTCTCTTAGGATACAACACTTCCTTTATAAAGGATATCAGCATAGCTGCTTTGACACATCTATCTGCTCATCCTGGGCAACAGTTCTCCAAATCTGTCTGGTGCTTGGAGGAAGTATCAGGAGAAAGAGTTTGGTAACAGCACCAAGCAGACAGTCTGTATATACCTAACTGGAATGTTAGCTGAAGCATATCTAAATAGCTCCCTTTATTAAGAGTTTGATGCATTGTAGAATTATGTAGTTCTCATGTTACACAAAACTGTGAGAGTGGTTGCTCACAGCAAAATACAGAGCTGGATTAAAAGAAAAAAAGTTGGATGGTGAGGGGAGGTGGAGGGTTGGGAAAGAAGAAGGGTTTGGGGGAGACGCTGTTTCCCCTAGCCCCTGCTGGCATAACAAGGAATAATGGGCACAAGTTGATGGAGAGGAGGTACAGATTGGACATCCGAAAAAACTACTTCACAGTTAGGGCGGCTAGGAGCTGGAACCAACTTCCAAGGGAGGTGGTGCTGGCCCCTACCCTGGGGATCTTTAAGAAGAGGCTGGATACTTACCTGGCTGGACTCATTTGAGTCCCGTTTTTGTTTTTAGGGTGAGTGGTTTTTTGTTTTGTTTTTTTTTTGTTTGTGTTTTTGGGTTGTTCTCCCGCCCTGGCGGGGGGTCGGGCTAGAAGATCTATTAGGTCCCTTCCGACCCTGAAACTATGAAACTATGAAAGTAATGCCTATAGCACTGAAACAGATTATTAAAAAAAAATAAAATTAAGAATTGAGTACTGTTGCCCCAAACTGAATGAAACTCGAGAGAGAGATTGCTCTTTACTCCAAACCAGCAAACAGAGATGGAATAGACACTTGGGTTAGAGAGCTAAAGCACTCCAGCTTTCACGCATAATTTGGAGATTCATCAGTTGAAAACGGGTTTTGGGTTTTTTTGAGAGAGAAAAAATAAAGTTTACAGAAAAGATTATTTCAGAGAACCAAATGAGATATTCTTAGAGAAACACCTCTAAATAGCAGGGGCAGCAGAATGCATGGAGGGAAAGAATCCAGGCAGTGGATCACAGCTCTGCCCCAGCTCCACACCATGCTGTCACCACCGCAAGATCCTGCCCCAGAGCAGCTCCCCACCCAGCTGCCCACCCTGCCAGTGCTGTTGTTGCCAGTCTCAATGGAAACCCTGGCCACACCCTGTCACCCTCTCCTGGGATCTTCATGGAAACCAGCCACAGCAACATGTGCAGGGGCTGCTGGGAAATGGAGCCCACTGAGCATCCAATCTGGCCAATATGCTCCCTGTTACACTCTCTGCAAAGGTTACATTGCCACAACTCTTGCAATTTTTGTGTTTTATGCCCCATCTGAATGCACCAGTATTCCAAGTGCAGACTGCTGCTAACCATCCCTCACCAAAGGAGGCCATGGCCACATTTCCGTCAAGCTATGGACATTCCATAACAATATATAACAGCATAGTTATTGCCTATTGCTAGCAGAGGTGGTAAGTGCCTCCTGCACTGGAGGGTGGATTCATGCCCTCCGAGTATCCATCCATAGCCCATCTTGATTCCTTTCTTTGTTAATCTCCCCCAGCTCCTCCCAGTGTCTCTAACCATGTTCACAAGTCTGTTTCAGCTACTGCATTTGAATACATTTTATTTACTACAACTCATTCCCTATTTTAGATTAGATTGCTCCCTATTTAATTACTACAGCTCATTAGTCAGTGACACAGGACACTTAACTGAGATGTTTTAGTCTGGTAAATCCTGGTTTGCGCAGGGAGTTGGACTAGGTGACCTCTTGATGTCCCCTCCAGTCCTACTTGCGTATGATTCTGTCATTCAGAGC